CCCCTGCAGCACCTCTAGGGCGTGCTGGCCAGGTAGGGACAGCGAAGTTGGGTTGGGAAAATGGGGCGGCGAGCCCAAATATTCCCCTGTGCTGCTCAGTGGATTGCATTAGCCCAGCGTGATGCTTTGGGTGTTTTGCTTTCCTGGGTGCAGCTCCCTGACACCATTTGGGATTTAGGGTGTGCTACCGAGCCCTGCCAGGAACGTACGGGTCTCCCTGAGCCCGAAGAACACGCGTTGCCCCTGTTTGTGTGCTGGGTTTGGGAATGGGCACTCCCAATGGGAGAGGGATAAAGGGTGCTCCCACCAACCGCCTGGGGCTCACGTGCAGGATTTGCTGCTGCTAGTTGTCCTGCAGCGCTTGCCTCACCAGCACCTGCCGTGGGCTTCACAGACAGAAAGGGGAGATGGCATCCCTTCCCCTGGGGACAAACAGTCGCTGAGTTTTTCTGAAACCACTTAAAGGACTTGGAGATGATATTCCCATTAACAGGGGTAATCAAATCCTCTCGCTGCCTTCAAAAGGCTGGGCCCAAGCGGGAAGGAAGGAAGAACACAGAAGAGCCAAGGGAACAGGGTGGGGAGGGCATTTTGGTGCTGGTTGGATCCCTGTTCCAAGCTGCAGGTCTTCTTGTCCTGCTGCTGGGAGAGTGCCAGGCTTTGCAGGCTTCTTGGGAGTGATGGGAATTATTCATACGTGACAAATAAATATGCAGGGTATATGTAATAAATATATAATTGCATACAAAAGGTTGATCAGGGTGCATCTGCGTGGGGTGTAGAAACCAGGCGGCTCATCCGCTGGGATGAGTTTGTGATGCTCTTTACCTTGTCAACATGTGGACGTGTGCGGGGAAAAGCTGGGTCCCCCACCCAGCACAGCTGGCATTGCTGTGCCAGGAGGGGGCTGGGCATCCCTGGGCTGCTGGTTTTGGCCCTGGCATTGGGTGTAGTCCTGGATTTGGGTGTAATTCTGTCATTGGGTGTAATTCTGCCTTCGCTGCCCATTCAATAGGCAGAACCGGCCAGGCAGATGCTCCCCTCTCGGTGTGCCCACCGGGAAGAGACCCTTCTGGTTGAGTGGGGAGAAGTACCACAGGAGATAGTGGGTACCCCAGGGTGATTCTGTTTCCAGCACTGAGAGGACTGTCAGAAATTAACAGTTATCTTTCTTACGGGTTTTTGGGGTTTTTTTTTATTCTTTCAGTCGCCTGCCATCAACAGGGACAGGAAACAAAAAAAATCTTAGAAAATGCTCAGTCAAAAAGATCGCGTATTCCCTCCAGAGCCGGGTAATCTCTGCACCAACAGGATGACTGATTACCGCCGGCTTCTATTAAACAGGCATTAATGATGATTATTGTCTTTCTTTTGCTAAACCGTGAGCCTCTGCACGGCAACACGAGGCTTGGTGAAGGTCACTTTGAAAGTAACGCGTTCCCCATAAAAATACGTTCGGGGAGTTGCTGAGTGTCGGGTTGATAAGGAGCCACCGTGGGCATTGGGAGCTTCTCCCCGTCACGAAGGGAGGTGATGGAGGGAGGTGGAAAGCTGCTAGAGCTGGTGCATTGGGGCAGGGAAACTGTCAGCTTGCAGAAAGTGTACTCACGGTGTTGTGGTTCAAAGGTTCGTTTTGAAACTTCTGTTGCTGGTTTAATTAAAACATTATCCTTCCTGCCTATAAGGAACCTTGATGGCTCGTGCAAGTCGCACATCGTTAGTTAGCACACGTTCCTTCAAAGAACATGTTGAAGAAATCACTTTTAATAAGGACTTGCTGACAGTGTCACAAGATTTCCAGGGTTTCTGTAAGATCTTTTGGAAGTTTTTTTTAAAGAAGAGATTAAAAAGAAAGGATTTAAAAAAAAAAAAAAATCAACAATATAAAATCCCACAGCTATTTAAAGGTCCCATAATCTCGTCTGCCTGCCCTTCAGCCTGGAGATGAAGACGCAGACACCTTGCCATGCAGCCAGATGTGGTGCACCTGGACACTGCTTTGCCAGACAGGTTGCATTCCTATGTTTCTTCTGCTTCGTGCGTTCAGCACCAGGTTTATTGGTCGCAGTGACTTGTGTGGGTTTCCAAAGTAATTTTTCCACAGAGAAGCAACTCAAGGGTTTTGGCCATCCCTTGAAACCCTTCAAAGGGTGCTGGTTTTCCAGTCATGTCTTGCCTGTAGAGCACTGTAAGTGTCCCCACTTTGGGCATGTGGGCTCTTCAGCTAGTTTAGAACATCTCTGTGTAGCTGCAATGCTCCCTAGTTGTCTTCTGCTGCCGGGGAAGGGAAAGCAGTTTGCTCCCAGCTCCTTGGGGAGGTTTTGGTGTCAGAGATACAACAGAGGCAGCCCTGCATGGTGAGGACATGGAGGGGGGACTCTGTAGTCATTGTCAAGGGGAACGAGTGGGATTTCTGGGCTGCTGGAGGTGATCGTGCAGTCAAATGTATCGATGTTTGTGCTGCCTGCGAATGGTGGGATGGAGAGAGACTACTGAGGGATTTTTTCCTTGTCTCTCAAAGTGTATTGAGGCTGCCTGACAGCAACAGCAATCAAAGTACTTTTCATTCTTCCAGGAGGTAAAATAAGAAAACCGACTGAAAATAAGATTCCCAGAATATCTCAGTAAACATGAGATAAAAATCAGCACAAGCCCTTCAGCCTCCTTTGTCAGCTCTCAGCTCCCTCCTGGCTTGCCGACGGCCGCATCCCTCGCTGGCACGCGTCCGGGCGCTCCCAGGGGGGTGGACTTGTGCCAAGTGACCCCATCTGAGGATTTTACTGTGCAACCTGAAAGAGGAGACATCTGCTTATTGGCTTTTATGAGCTTTTTATTAATTAGCGCTTTTAAAAAGGGCCTTGCATGCTAAGTGCAGAGGTAGGAAGAGGTTTTCTTCTCATAGCGTTTCCATCGGTATCTCTTGCTATTGCATTTTGCTCTTCCAGCCTAGCTCAGCCATGGTCGGGGGCGTGGGGTGTCTGTTGGTGTGTAACTCTGTCCCCTCCTCAGGTGAGGCTGTGGGGAAGAGCAGCGTGGTCCCTTTGCCGTACGAGAGGTTCCTGAAAGAGCCCGGCTCGCTGGCGGTCGCCGGCTTGCCTGAGGGAATCAGCTTTAAGAAACCCATGGAGTACGATGTGAAATCCCTGATGGCTATCCTAGAGCACAGCCACAGCATCCGCTTCAGGCTAAAAAGGTAATTTTGGGCATCCCCAAGGGGTGGGAGGGCAGTGAGCCCTTGGGACGGTGGCTCGTATAACTTTGGCGTGTGGCAGAGATTTTGTCTGGGGGAGGCAGGACAGTCTCTCCCGTCCCAGCTTCTCCCCTAGACCCAGAAACCTGGGTCCAGCCATGCCAAACCCAACCTTGCAGGCAGGTTCATCAGTGTCAGGTGGCTCAAGACCGTTTCAGACTTGTTCCTATAATAAGCACGTGTAAACGTGCACGTTAACCGCATCGCTTTACGTGTCTCCGCCAAAATTTCCGCTGCGGTAAGCTAAGTGCCTTTCTGTCTCCAGAGGCATTTCCAGTGCAAATGCTGCAAGCTTCTTCCCAGGCTGAAATGGGGGTTTTAATGCCCGACAAGGAGGGAGGCGGGGGACCAAGGTGGGACAAACTCCCCATTTTGGCCACGTTTTCGCAAGGGGCTTGGTAGTTCTGGGTGCGTTTCCTCTGCGTTTGCCTGCCTGGTGGCACCTCGGCTCCATTCAGAGAAATGCTGAGAGCTACCAAATACCTCTTCTGAAGGCTCGGCACTTCTGGAAAATCAGGCTGAGACAGCTAAAAGTAGGACACGCAGAATTCGAGCAGTCTGTGAGCTTACGGCCGCCTGTCTCATATGAAGCATGTGGGCTATCTCAGTCTGAAGCTCATCCCTGGGCTGAATGAGGTTCCCCATGGGTCCTGGGGGCTTTGACAGGCATTGGAGTCAAGCGGTTATGGTCACACAAATTGTTTTACTCCTTAAATGCACCGGGCCCTGGAGGTAGGCAGCTTTGCCTTAGCTAATATAAATGCTTTGAACTACCATAAGACCAACCTGCTCCACTTAAAGAAGACAAAAACGGTCCAGGTGCCTGAAGAAGCTGGAAGAGGTTGGGTGATGGCTGTAATTGCTCAAATAAAGAGCCCGGCAGCCGGCGATGCAGCGGGTCCTACCCTTCCGAGCATGGCTCTCCTCTCCCTCCACATCTTTGCCTGTCCCAGCTTAGCAGAGCCATGGACCCAAAGGAACCTGCTTTTTCCTCCTCTTCTCCTTTCCATCCCCTCAGGCCGGCGGACGAGCCCAGCCGAGAGCTGAACCCCAGCGTTGAGTTGACTTGTACGTCCCTCGTCTCCAAGGGCAGCCGAGACTCTGGTGCCAATGGCCCCATGGCCAAACCCTCTGGCCAGGATGCCGCCTCCGCCGTGGCCGTCACCAACTTCTTGTACGGCGTCTCGCTGCCGACCCCGATCGCTGTTGACTTAAAGCAAGAGGTGTCCTCCGGCCTGCCTGGGCCGAACGCGGCCGGCGAGGCGCTGCTGCCCAGGCCCGCGGGAGAGCTGAAGGTGCCTTCCTCACAGGAGTACAGCGACTGCTGTGGTAATAGCCTGGAGTTTGCTCTCAGACGAGGGCCTGGTGCGGAGCCCACCCCACCCCGGCGCTGACAGGGGACAGGCCTGGGTGTTTTGGCGGTCCTCGGATGAAAATCGGTGCAGAGCTTGGCCCATATGGAGATGAGCACACACCACCCACCCCCCCCC